TTTTGACGTGTAAATGGCACTGTAAAAGCCCAAACAAAGACTTACCAACGAGTTATGGTACCAGGCCTAATTTTTTGCATTTACCCCCATTCACTTGTTAAATCATTCTCCCGGGCCCTCTCCGCTGCCTCCTTCTGCGAAATGACATCTTCGCAGAAGGATGCGACAGCGGTAAAACAACTATCACTACCGGCCATGGAGCGTATGACGGCCGGTAGCAAGAGATCTCTTCCGATGACTGTAGTGAATATCTTAAGATTTATTGGTAAAACCTTAGATTTATCGTAGTTCGGGTGTTACAGAAATATTACATACATAGATACACTTTATTGCTCATCAACAATCACTGAGGATACAAAAAAATTCAATTAATCCTTAGTGTTACTATAGGCAGTCTTAATACAAGCTGCTAACTAATCCAGACGAGCGACTTTTCTATTAATAATACAAAATAGGTTACTACGTAAATCTAGGCTTTATCCGCAAATGTTAGCGATTTTTTCTTTTAGGCAAGAGTTGGTAGGCTATAATGAAGTTTTATTTTATGGTTATCTGGCAATAAGTGGCTACCACCGTCCATAGCCACTCAAGACTCACAAGTGGTATGCACCCTTTGAGTCTTTCACCCCAAGAAGGGGGCTTGGGCTCCGGTAAACTCACTCACTCCGTGAAAATCAATGAAAAAATAAAGCTGTATTTTCTGAAGCCGCGTTATCACTCCGGTCGAGCCGGCTTATTTTTGCCAAAGCACTCTCCCACGGCAAAAGTAATAGTAGTTATCTACTCCAAAGCAATAACTGCAGTGACTGAATCTAAATTACTCTTTAAATAATATGGACATGCATTCGATCGTCTGATCTGAATACAAAAGAATAGTTAAGTATTTAGACTAACAATTTCTACATAAGTCTATCTTGCACAAAGGCGTACGTCATTCGGAATATTAACGCAACAGCGATTTAACGGTACCGTCAGTGTTGCAACACATCACCACACATCACCGGTAATTTAAGTAGTATCAGGAGTTAAAATGAATTCAAAGGATATACATAAAAACAAACAACCTACTGACAAACGATTTGAATTTATTTTAGTTAATAGTTCTTTATTTTTGTTTGCAGTGATTTCTTACTTAAAAAATAAACATACGAAATTAGATTCAGAAATAAAGGATTGACCTTTACTAGTCCACTGCTAGACATAGGCCTCTCGGGTTTTGACCTATTATACTACTCTGGTCAGTCGGGTTGGTATAGGGTTTTTGAGAGGGTTCTTTCTGCCCGCATCGTCCGGCACCTCTGCGAGGTGGGCCCCGCTCTGTCGGACGCCCAATTTGGTTTTCGGGGGGGGGCGTTCGACAGTCGACGCCGTGTTGCGCCTGAGGGCCGTGACCGAAGAGGCCGTGAGCTGTGGCGGCGTGCTGTTGGCGGTGTCACTGGACATCGCCAACGCATTCAATAGTCTGCCATTCAGCTGCATCAGGGAAGCACTCCACTATCATGGGGTGCCAAAGTACCTGAGGCGGCTAGTGGCAGACTATTTAGAGGAGCGTACCGTCGTGTACGAGGACCGAGAAGGTAATCTGAGGTGTCGGCCCATGTCGTGCGGTGTTCCACAGGGGTCTGTTCTTGGACCCCTCTTGTGGAACATAGGGTACGACTGGGCCCTTCGCGCCGATTTCCCCCCCGGCTGGGTGTAATCTGTTACGCAGACGATACCCTGGTGACAGCCCGGGGGGCAAACTTCCAAGAGGCGGCACGCCTGGCCACAGGGGGAGTCTCCCTGGTGGTCGGGCCCATTGAGGCGCTGGGCTTACGGGTGGCCCTAGATAAGACGGAGGCCCTGTTATTTTATGGGCCCCGTCGTGGTCCACCCCCTGGCGCCTCAATCGTGGTCAACTCGGTCCTCGTACCGGTTCGGGCCCAGATGAAATATCTGGGCCTGATCCTCGACGGGAGGTGGCTCTTCGACGAGCACTTCCGACAGCTTGCTCCAAAGCTGGTCGGCGCTGCGTCTGCCCTAGGGCGACTTTTGCCCAATATGGGTGGACCCAGCGTCGCGACAAGACGGCTGTACACGGGGGTTGTCCGGTCAATGGCACTGTACGGTGCACCGGTGTGGGCGGCGGCTCTGACCGCCCAGAATAGGGTACGCCTCTGGCGCCCTCAGAGGGTAATGGCGGTCAGAGCCATACGCGGTTACCGCACCGTTTCGACGGAGGTGGCATGCGCTTTGGCCGGAACTCCCCCGTGGGATTTGGAGGCGGAAGTGCTCGCCGAAGTTTATCGGCGAGTGGCTGACTCCCGGGCGGAGAGCGAATTTCGCCCTCCGCCCGAGGATGTGCGCGAGTGGCGCGAAGCGCGTCGATCCACGATGGCTCGTTGGTCGTTCCGGCTGGAGACTCCACGCGCTGGCTTCGCCGCCGTGGAGGCTCTCCAGCCGGTCATCGCCGAGTGGGCAGGGCGGCAGCACGGGACCCTTTCCTTCCGGCTGACGCAGGTGCTTTCCGGGCACGGTTGCTTCGGAAAGTACCTGCACTCGGTCGCTAGGAGGGAACTGAGTCCCGCCTGCCACCACTGCGACTGCAGTGAGGACTCGGCCCAGCACACGCTGGCGGTCTGCCCCGCATGGGCGGCGCAGCGCCGGGCCCTCACTGCAGTCATCGGAGTGGATCTCTCGCTACCGGCCGTAGTACGCTCCATGGCCGGTAGCGACAGTTGTTTTACCGCGGTCGCAACCTTCTGCGAGGTAGTAATCTCGCGGAAGGAGGCGGCGGAGAGGGCCCGGGAGGACGACCTCCACTCGGACCCGATCCGCCGCCGGCGAACCGGGCGGCGGAGGCCCGCCTATCACAGCCTCATGCCGCCCTGAGTGTGGCCGCGGGTGGACGGGGTGGGTTTCCCCTCCACCCGCATTAGTTTGGCCAGCCGCGAGGGGGCGGCGTCCGCGTGTGCCGGACGTCGTCTATAAAGAGAGGAAAAACATTGAGACGGAGCCCGCACCAGGAGCGGGCTGGCGCTAGGAGGGGTCCGGATGTCTTAACAACAGCTGTTCCCGGATCCCTCCTGTTACAGGCGCAGAGTGGCACACCGTGTGGTTTTAGTCGGTCCGAGTCCGACACACCACCCCGCCGCAAACCCCGGAGGGGTGACGGTCCGAGGGGATTTCCACACGTTAAAAAAAAAAAAAAAAAGGGTTTGTATCAAGTTTTCCTTCTCTTTGCAGGGCTGTTGTTCAGCGTAGTATTTTCGCTTAGTCGGCTCTTACGATACCCACAGGATGAATAGGGGTGGTGACACTTTGTATTATAAATCTATCACCACACTGATGAAATTGGATTAAACTTAATATATGCGTATTATGTATAAACTAACTGCCTGCCTGTCATAAACTAACTGCTCCTGTTTTTTATTTTAGATTCAATTGTGTTAATGTGAACTTTATCAATTAATTTTTTGGGTAAAACTTTCATTTTGTGACGATTGGCGCATTTCGCGCTGAATGTTGTGGGTTCGATTTTCACATGAGACAACATTTCTGTGTTTGTAATTATGTGTGTGACAAATTGTGGTTCTGAATCTGGGTGTTCTTTGTCTCCGTTTGATTAATATATGGAGAGTACCCCACACTATACGTATACATAATATATAATAACAGGATATATTATTATATTATTATATTATTATATTATATTTATAGTGCCGGACAACTCCGGCACTATAAATATATCCTTTTTTTTATATCCTTCCTTTAGATTTTTGTATAATAACAACTTATTATACAAAAATCGTAATTAATGTAAGTGACGCCGCTAACAAAAGCTAGCTTTCAGCTAGGTACGATAGTGATATCGTTCTAATGCACACAAACTGATAGAGTGGCGAAACCATCATCATAAGTAGGTAATTACCGTTGTGTAATTAGTTAAACAAAACTATCTTCATATAACTATTTCTACTTCATATTATATGTACATTTTATGTGAAAATGTGTGATAAGCACGATCATTTGTTCTGTCTCTGGGTGCAATTTAGATATACCTATATCTATACATCTATACAAATAAATAAAATTGGAGTGTCTGTTTGTAATATAAAAATAACCGCTTTTTACTAAATGTATATGTATGTTTACACGGTACATATGCCAAAATAACATTTTTTACAATTTTTGTCTGTCTGTCTGTCTGTTTGTTGTGTGAGTTTGGTGAGTAACTTAGAGTAGAATAAATAACCATGTACGTTTAGAACTTCTATTGCGGCATAGCCTTGGGCCTATATGTCAGGGCAACGGTCAGCGAAGGAGAGACAGTCATTGATTCATTTATTCACTTTTATTACTTAGATTTCTAATACCTTTTTTTTCTAAATGGATAATGCAATTAAAACATTTTAGTTTACCCATTTAATTTTTTTTTTTTGTTTAAGTCGGTTTAAAAATGAATTAAGATATAATGTAAAACACACATAAAAATTAGTGCCAAACTGAAATTATCCTCGTTTTTGAGTCGATTTTAATTATAGAAAGACTTATTGAAATTTATCGTAACCTGTGAAATACAATTATGAACTATTTCCAATGCCCATATGAATTCTTTCATTTGTTTCATCTCATTAAAGGTATAAGGATTACTTATACAGATCTTCTTTCTTTCCAGGATCGTACAAATTGATCCTAAAAATAATGGGACTGAACAACAGCTAAAAAATATATATAAAAAGACAGGGTAATATATATACATAACCGAAATAGTTTGAAACCTAAACAAGATTGATACGATGCGACATTATTTGTCAAAGAAATAAAAATATTTAATATAGACTTAATGTAACAAGATAACATTGTATGAAGTATTTATTTTCTATCTAACAAAATGTTTATATAGGTGTAGTTTAAAGGAGTCGGAGGCCATATTGCGTAATAACGCATAGACCTATTGCCGCTGCATCGTGCTCGGAGTCTTGAATTGATATCAGTCCGTTGCGAAGCATTGTGGAAACATGTACGATTGTCGCGACAAAGTTGTTTTAGTGACCGGGGCCGCTGCGGGTATCGGTGCTGGGTTGGTTAAGGCATTTCTAGACGAAGGTGCTTCTGTAAGTTTATTTGTGTACAAGATTAAGCAAGACAAATTTATATTTCAATATAACTATGCTGCCGTTGTCGATATTCGAATTAAGAATGAAAAATATTTATAATAATATGTTTAATGCTTGTTTACTTAAATGTGGAGTGGATTGTTTTTATGTTAATTATGTCCAATGTACGGTTCAAACATAATTACGAATTTAGAAAACCCACTTTGTGATATGCATTGCATGTTAGGTATCTATATCTGGCAGGACAGTAATCTTCATAACTTTAATTTTTAGAAACGGTTCTTCATACTCTTATCCTACTTATATTTGGCTACATACAAGAAAAAATAAAATAGATATATCTTTGCTTAATGCTTTTAATTCTAGCATGTAGCTGCATTGGATATTGATATAAAAAACGGTAAAGTTTTAGAAAAGGAACTAAACGATAAATATGGAGACAACAAAGTTAAGTTTCATCGATGTGACATCACTACAAATGACTTAGATGCGGTTTACGACAGTGTAGTCAAAGAATTTGGTTACATTGACGTTGTGGTCAACTGTGCTGGTATTATGAACGATAAACCTGATATGTATTTGAAAGAAATAGAAATAAATGTAGTAAGTACATAATGCATTATATGTTGTTAATAATTAATTATAAAAATAATCTGTACGTGAGTGATGTTTTAAGTTAATATGAGGGTAAAATACAAATACTACTGTGTATACTTCCCGGGATTTTTTTCATATTCGATAGCTTTTTTGTGTAAAGTACGCTACACAAAAATGCTGTCGAATTGAGATTAATCCTTTTTTGCGTCAGTTAAAAAAGAAATAGCTACTTGAAAGCGTAAAAGCTCTAAATAATTATAAAATAATTCTTAATTCATTATGATAGTAGTTAAATAACAGACGTCTTTAACTGGCAGCGATAGTAATTATCACTCACTATCACAGCTGTTCATAGAACAATTAATGTTGACATGTAACGAGATAACACAGTCCCGATAGAGGTTTTATATCCTCAGTTTACTAATTATAATTTGAGCCCACGCACTAAGCCACACCTATTGCAATCAAGTGAACACTTTAGAAATTAAAGATGGATAGATTAGGAGTATTAAGACGACAGTTAAAAAGGGAAAATGAAGGGAAAGGGATGTTGGTGGACTGCGATGTGTAATGAGGTATTTTATAATGACCTGAGCAGACCAGAGTCACAAACCTATTATTCGGCTATTGTCCTAGCCCCTTAACACTATCAAATAACACTATCAATCATCAACAGCCCTTAACAGTCCACTGCTGGACATAGGCCTCTCCTTACAATGGAGGTTTTGGCCTACTATACCACGCTGGCCAGACGGGTTGGTATAGGGTTTGTTTCAAGTTTTCCTTCTTTTTGAATTGCTGTTGTTTTTGCTCCCTTAGTCGGACACGAACCCACTCCCTTACGACACCCACGGAATGAATAGAGGTGACACTGTATTTTTAATCCGTCACCGTGATCAAATATTTACAATGAATGTGCCTGTACGAATGGTGTAGTGGATTAAGCAGTCACCTCCCTTACTGCTGCGATGAGTGTTGTGGATTTGATCCCCACATGGGACAATACTTTGTGTGATCCACAAATTGTTGTTCTGAGTCTGGGTGTTCTTTGTGTCCGTTTCATGTATGTTTGTGAAGTCCCCTGCCTCACAGGACAGTCCTCTGCTATATTCCTAGCGAGGGAGTTGTTTTGAAAAAACAAAAAAAAATTGTTAAATTCATTTAATACATTTAAAACATTTCGTGTAATTGCGTGATAAAACTGCGTATAATATTTTATTTCAAATACTTTATATGTGAGTACTAAATGTAATTTTATTTCCAGTCAGCTCTGATTAAAAGTTCTTTAAATGCGTACGATCTTATGCGCAAAGACCGCGAAGGAAAAGGCGGCACTATCATCAACATATCATCTATAGTAGGTCTGTACCAATCAAGGTTATTGCCGGTGTACAGCGCTACAAAAAGCGCTGTACTGCAGTTCAGCAACTGTCTTGGGGTATGTTTGACAAATAATTATTAAAAGTGCTTTAAAAAAAGGATTATTTTCTTTTTCCTGATTTAAAGCAACTAAGTTAAGTTAAGGTAAAATATGTTGATAACTGAAAAACATACGTTACTAAAACCGGACAAGTTAATTTAATATTATATCGATTTATCGGCTTTGGTTTTTTGCGACTAATATGTTTAAATTTAATGTACTTAATGTAAATAAAATTCCTTTCAGATGGAACCTCATTACAGCAGGTCAGGTGTCAGGGTACTAACTTTATGTTTTGGTTGTACCGACACTTCCTTATTTGACTCTTCCAAAATGGGAACTATTGATAAAGAATCACATGAACAAATGATGGGTAGTTTATCTAAGTTACCTTTCCAAAAGTAAGTAATTTTCGAAGCAAATTTTTGGTATTCTTATGCGAAATCATGATGCAGACTACTTTCCTCGGTTCTTCTTAGAACTTTTCGAGACTAGCGACTTTCGAAACTCCGTACATGCTGATGAGCCTACTAGTGGGCTATCTGATATTTTTTAAATTTCGGCCTATCTCAGAAAAAAAAGGTGGTCGGTCATGTTTAAAAAAAATATTGTAGTTTCCCTCACTAATTTTGCTATAGTTGCCACAAATTATGTAACTTTTGAGTTTTTTTTTGTATTATAGCTGTAGAGTTTGTGCCATGTGCCAAGATGCCTAATATCCACTTCTTTACAAAAAGAATATTGGTGGTTATCACGACCAAATTGCCTTTTGACGACTAGTTACTTAACAAGTTTTCGTAGGAGACTAAATTAATTTTTAAATGAGCACGAAGTTGCGCAGTAAGTACTTAGCTAGTGTAATCAAATAATCATTTCCACTGACCTCTCGCTAACAACTAACGTGAGTAAACTGAGCCAGTGCGAAATAAAAACTGTAATTATAGTAATTGACAAAACCAGGAAACACTAACAAATATACGACCTTCGAATAACAAGTTACGTTAGTTAGTTAAAACATGAGTACCTACGTTTATTTAAAAAATACAAATATGAAAATATGAAAAATGGAATTCAATTTTATATGTACTCGTAGTAGATCTTCCTCCTAGTCTTTTCCCAAACTAGATTGAGGTCGGTTTTAAGTCTGCTACGATACGGCAGAACTTCGATTTTTTACGCGGAGCGACTGCCATCAGACCTCAACAACCCAAGTACTAGGCGATATCGAAGTTCTGTAGAAAGACGATTGTATTGTTGTATTTATGTGTAAATGTATGTACAAGAAGTAACCCAAAATGTATAAAGTTAAAAGTTTTGTGTAAACGGCTATACTCGTATAAAGCTCAAGGGACTTAAATATATATATAATATTGTCCGGTCATTGTACCAAATTATTTACAATGACAGTTGAATACTATACTTAGAAATAAGACATTAAAAACTGTCTCAGGATAACCAGCAGGCCATCTCTTATAGGAATCAAAATCATACTACAGCGCCATCTAATAGAGACACACCGAGCTACATTATACTAACTGCTAATTCTGTATCGCGATATAAAACATTCTCTCGCCGATTTGGCATATATACAACTTCTCAACATCAACCGTTGAGCCGCGGCCCGCCAGCTACGATCACCTCGCCTGGTCGGAGGATCCTCCCTTTGTGTTGGAGGGGCATGATACTAGTTCCTCCTCAAGTTATTACCTGCTGCTATGGTACCTTAGTCTTTAATGTGATGTATACTTTAAAACTTTTTGTATATACTCGTCATCATCATCAACAGCCCCTAATAGTCCCAGTGGTGGATTTACATTTTTGCTGGCTGTAGGCTTTTAAATTTGTGCCGCCGCTACTAACCTCTGCAATACAATTCTCTTTTCTTTACGTGTGGAAGCCCCCTCGGGCCGTCACACCGGGATTTGCGGCGGGGCGGTAAGTCGGAATTGAACCGACTTAAACCATATGGTGTACTACTCTATGCCTGAAATGGGATAGATCCGGGAACAGCTGTTATTAAGACATCCGGACTCTCAATTAGATACCCTTTTTTTAGGTAGGTATTTATCTTGTTATTAACAATGAATAAAGATAGGATAATCTCTTTCAGGACTGAATCAGCTGTCGAAGGTCTTATCCATGCGTTCAAACATGGCGCTAGTGCATCTACGTGGCTTGTGACTTCAGGTAGACCAGCTGAAGATATTACTGAGAATGTTAGAAAAGCCTACCAGATTATGAGTCAAGGCGTTTTTAGTTAAGAAAACTGATCAAATCAACATTATATAACAATATATAGAAATATTATTTAAAGAATTTTTCGTTAATTGATAATTTAAATATTTTTGTAACAGTTCATTTTTTAATATAAAATTATACCTGCATTATAAATATTATATTGTTTTTTTTTTAAATTGAACAAAAAACGATTGTTTGATTAGAAAAAAAAGGTTAAATGGGTTGTGAGACTTTAATTATTTTTCCTTTTCTTTAGAGCTGTTAGTAATTACTAACTTAAAACTTACAAATTTATAAGTTTAAGTAAAATACACGTCTTAAAATTTAGGTATATCTTACTTAGAGCCAATTATAAAAAAGATTCAGTAATTCGAGTAAACTCAAAGTAGTAGTAGTAGTATTCTTGTAAAACTAAAAGATTAGTGTTTAATTGCATATTATAATTTGTTCTAAATTTAATAAAACACAAAACTCATGCAGTAAATACTTTTATTTTAAAAACTTCTTATTATCATCATAAATCTTCGTAATCATTGTTTTGAACGTGAAATTATGTATCTGCTTATTACAGCTATTATCCATCATTATTGTCTTCCAGGATAACACCTGATTCTGTTTATTAAATATCTGTAATTCACTTTAATTATCGTATTTAACATGGCGTAACGCATCGAAGGAAAAGAAAACCGGAGTTCCCGTACATTATGGAAGACGATACAAACGTTCTACTCCCTTTTGAATATTAACTCTTATATTAAATATATCTACTTACAAATAATTTTAACAAGAAATCAATTTAGCTACAGTATAATCAATTCATGTAATAAAAAAAACGTCTTCCAAATATTTATGTCATAACTTTTAAAACTTAATTGGCTTATTAATCCAGTAAGTAATTTGCCATTAAACAAATAGTAGTTCAGTGCAAAGCTTTCCTTATTCAAAAAAAAAGTTAGAATACATAATAACTTGGTTTTATTATAAACAAATTATTTATCTAAATTGTCACTAATCTTTAACGCGATATAATAAACTTTAATAATTTCCTTGGGAAACAAATATATAGATATAAATCACTTTAATACACTTCTAAGATATGAATAGTTTTTTTTATTTACATCGCATTTTTATCGAATAGAAGATACTATAATTTTTGATGATTCTACAATATGAAAATTGTTCTGAAATGTTTTAATAGGAATATTTATATAATTTCTTCATCTTTTTATAAAGCTTGCAACACAGTTTCGAATGGTAAATCTGTTGGGCGGTGAACGTAACCGGAATGTCAAAACTGGATCAAAAATGAATCATCACAATACATAATTTAATTACTCTAACATTTTGCTAATTTCGTAATTAAATAAGAATAGTCTTATAAAAATGGCAGTTTTATATCACGTATACGAATTTAAAGTAACATATCTTAGAACACAGGTCAACTTTATTCGTTTCCATCATAACAAAAAAAAAAAATTGCCACGAATTTATTCAAATACAATTAGCAAAATTGTGAAAAACCTGTCAGTACTATGTCTAATTTATAACTACCCTCCTTTTATAATATCCCCTGAACTTTAAATTTCTTAGAGTTTATACATATTTTTAATGATATTTCACAATTTTGCAATAGTCATCCATGCACCTATGTAACGAATAACGAACCTTTCTCAAAAAACACTACATATTTACAACATGCCAACCATTAATACAATCGTGGCTCGTCCGAGCGGTAAATCATTCAGTTTGTGCGCTTTATATTATTCTTTTATCAGATTTATTTATTAATCTACGAGAAGATCTCGTAGATTAACAGGTTGTTATTGAACAAAAACTAAAACCTGACTGCGTGAGAATTGTATGCTTAAATTGAAAAAAATACTAAGTGTGACTCTCGCGATAAAGACGAATTTAACGAGGCGTCGTTAGATTACAGGCTCAGGCTACAGAAAAAAACAACCGGTCAATTGAGAGTCAAACTCGTGCGCCAAGGGTTCCGTACATACCCATTATACCATTACCATATGTCATTTTCTTTTATTTTCTTTCACATAATAGCACAATTTTATTTATTTACTTTATTTGAGGTTGGTGCCAATTAAGCTAGTCCTCTAAATTGTATGAGCGCCCATACAGCTCAGAGGACTATCTTGATTGGCTTCAACTATGTATATATAACAGTAAAGGGAAAATTCCGAAAAATAAAAACAGTTGAAAATTAGGGTTAATTTTGGTACTTACAAGTTTTCGCGAAAATCTAAATTTCCCAATATCTTTTTACCTTGATTTTTATATACCTAATAAGGACCTATATACCTCAGTATCTGGTATAAATTTCAACTTGCTAGGTTCAGCCGTTCCTGATCAAATTGGTGGTGACGCACGGAAAGGCAGACGGACAAGAGAGTGATCTTATAAGGGTTCCTTTTTACCTTGTGAGGTACGGAACCCTAAAAATATTCATGAACTCAATAAATCCTCCTTCTGCTGCAGCCAGGTAGAAATAACAGTGAGAATTGAAACAGAGGGGAATTTTTTTATGTTGATATTGTTAAGCTAAGACAGAGCTGAACACGATATCCATTTTGACTGTTTTAACCAAAAAGGAACTCAAAGATGTTTTGTAGTTTTCTGTTTACGTGAATATTGTAATAAAGATACTCATTTTGATATAATAAACCATTTAGAGTGACAAGCATTGATAAAAATATAATAAACTTAGTTATGAGTAACAGTCATTACTCAATTCTGATAACATAAGTAATTGTATGGCTGCAGCTATAAGTTAGTAGTTATAATGATAAAATTAAATAATAAATAATAATAACAGAGACCGAAACGACAAAAGAAGAAAAACATTTTGACCATCTGCAGAAAGAAATGTTCGAAAAAGATATCTACACTCTTGATTTTGCAAGAAGAACGCCTCGCGTGGTTTCCTATTAATTCAATAACACTGATATTGATTTAAAATATCTCCTTAGCTTCTGAAACCACTAATTCAAATCGTTGACACATCAATGATCGTTCGTTTTTGTTTAGCGCCAAAAGACCTAGTAGACAAGGGAGCCGATTCAAATTACGTATAGAATATCTGTATATCATCTTTTGTTTCATGTTTTTGCATTTTTAAAAATTAACCTTATCTTGGACTCTTCTAACTTGCTTGCGACTTCCTGTTGCAAGATGATGTATAATGATAGAGGTGTAAAAATATGTCATTAATATGCAGCCAAACATGTGTTCCCTAAACGCATGCAGTTCAAGCAACTGCCTGAAGCGGCTTTTATACATCAGATCGTCAAAAACGCATTTCGAAAGAACCTACTTCTGATATTTCGTACAATTGTTACTTCGACAAAACTTTATTGTCAAACTGAATCAAAATGTTGCAGTTACATAGACATTATTTTCATGTTCATCTCTATTGTTCCTAGTTTTATAAATATAACTGCCGGATCTGGAAAATAAAAACAATCAATATCATAAAATGAAGATTAGTAAAGTGATTTTGTTTGAAATCAACAAGGATCGCGCAGAAATCTGATACTTTATTTAAATAAGGCATTTAAATAGCCGATAAACGACATAAAGTTTACTTTAAAAGATAATTACTTATTATAAGACTGTCATCACCTATTCTGCCTAACTATAATCCATCATACTTTAAAGCAAATCTCTCATTCCATAGGAATTTAACCCATGATTCCAAGTTTAGCCACCGATCGACAGCACTTGGTCCAAAATTTAATATTCGCACTAAATTATCTACTTTATCATAATCACATTATTTTATTTACATTATCCTCGTCGTCCTCACTGCTTGAGGTGCTAACAATTTCGCGTCCTCGCAAAACTTTGATTCAAAATTTTATTTCTAAATACCCTCAATCAACCAACAATTGACCCACTACTTAGAGGAATCGGTCAAACATTTTACTACAGTTCACTTTCTCACTACCCTTGGAAGTGACTAAATGGCTCAAGTGTCTTAGCCACAGACATGAAGACAAACATATTGGTATCGTAGGACTCTGCGCGAAAAACTGGTCACACTGTTGTGACTCGGTCTATTTCGACGTAACGCACAGAGTCCTCGCTTGGTCAGCAAATCACTTCTTTTTCATCAAAGATGGCAGTGTCTGAGGACAAGCTCTTAAGGCGTTGCTGCAACGCTGAACGACGTCTGCGGCAGGAACGTGCTGCTGTTATCTGTAATTTTTAAATTATTATTTGAATGTATGTCACGCGCATTTCATTATTAACTTGTCTTAATTAGGAACAACTTCCTACAGGTACTAGTAATTCTATACATTTATACATTAAATCTATACATTTAAGACTATATTTTTCTTATATAAGAAAACAACCTAGCTAATAAATGTCTACAAGATGTTTTTCAGTGACTATATTTAAAGGCAGAGAAAGAATTAAACTGCTTCTACAGTGTTTTGGAAGGCTCATTTCTACAATAAATTTTACATAATATAAGTTTGTGATCGGTTTACTTTCAGATACCCAGAGTTCATAAGGAAGTGGTATATTTATACTTGTACTGGCAGAGCAGAAATCCGCACGCCGTCTCAGGTACCAGTAGTCGGGGAACCAAGTGTACCCTAGAAAAGAAATCGGCTAGACGACCCGCCCTGTGTGGGAACCCCATGTTTCCTCTGTGGGGCGCGCAGGCTTCGCAACGCGCTCGCCGCCACCCCGGCCTGCTTCTGCTAGAGTGACAGATGGCCTGACCTGTCACCCTCAGGCATGGGCTTATGGAGGACGGAGCTCGTTATGCGACCTCAGGCGCCTGAGTCGTCTGCGGTATCTGGCCCGTTCCCGAGCCTGGCGGGCCGGGAGAGTTCTAAACCTCTTCCGGTCCCGCTCCGCCATCCCCGTCGCAAGCATAACTTGCTCGCAGAAGGAGACGGCACAGTTCCACGCACTCTCGCTCTGCACGATAGCCGCAATCAGGTAATCGAGCGAGAGAACTCCCACTTCGATGGCCGCCACGAGGTCTCGCCTCTGCTCCACCCACGCCGGGCATTCTGCCAGCGTGTGGAGCGCCGTGTCCACGGTCCGACCATCGCAGTGGTGGAACTTAGGCGTTGGCTCCTTGCGGATCAGACACAGGTGATCCCCGAAACATCCTCTCCCCGTGATTACGGCAGAGCGAGGCCTAAATATACGAAGTGGATAAAAATCTCTCTTTTATGCATTACGAGTATGTTGCTTCTTTTAAATGTTTGATTGCTTATTAAGCGTTATCAGACTATTACCACTCCACTATGCACAATGTGTACAATGGCGAACTTTATGCTAAAAGTATTTTTCTGCCAGTCTACCTTTGATGATATAGCAATAAGCATGCATGATGATTTTATCAAAACGAACAACGAAATTTCTCCAACGAAAAAACAACAATAAAAAGAATCCCTTCACCACTCCCACAATTCCGACTTCGTGAACGTTATTTTTTCAAGCTGTTCTACTCTGGAATGCACTCCCGCTTGAAGTCAGGATGTTCAGTTCCGTATTTAAAAAAAAAGGTACATGACCTCAATGAGATGTCAGAATCATCCAATCGATAGTACATCAACCAATTTTCTTACATTCATAGTGTACGAATATAATGTAGATGTGTATGTTTGTGTGTATATTTGTATCTATATAAATGCTGTGTATATATTTGTTGTGTAGTGTATATTTTAGTTGAATAGTAATGCAACCTATGTGCGCCTACCACTAACGATTTCTACACCACCTAAAGGTTGACTGAAAGAGAATGCCCCGGGCATTAAGTCCGCCTTCGTACAAGAGTTCATAAAGTTGTGTAAATAAACAAATAAAATAAGAGATATACTAACGACAGCGGCTGCCGCCAGAACAGTGAGGGCGAGAAGCGCAGCGGCGTAGTGCGCCGGCACCCGCAGCAGCGCGGAGCAGTGGGCGAGGCGCTCGTCCTCGCCGCGCGGGCAGTGCGCCACGCCGTCGCACCACAGCGCGCCCGAGATGCACGCATCCAGGGACGGGCAGCGGTACTCACATTCACCCGACAGTGCGAACACACCGCCGTGGGAACTGGCGTGTCTGAGTAAACGATAAAAAATATACATAGTTATATCCACTCTAATCTTATCACATTTTTTTATGTAAGAGGGGTCAGACGAGCAGGCGGGTCAACTGATGGAAAGTAACTACCGCAACTCAGGAGTCACAACGTGTTGCCGGCTTTTACATGGTTTATATTTTATTTGTGGTCAATTCAAGAAAGCTTCAAAGTTATTTTTCAAGAATATAATATAATATTGCACGAGTTACTGTGCTAAACTTAGTCTTGGACTAATGAATCTAGTCAAGTAAGGTTCACAAACACTAATAAATTTAAAATATCAGTTCAGTTCAAAACAAATGTTAACTTCAATTTATTCATTGAACTTATTTATAGGCAATGCATAGGTGCATGCTGGACCGAGTCTCTCACGTTGTATGCATTTATAGAAATGGTAGTTTTCTGATAAAACGAAGAGAAATAGAGTTTCCTAAACACACAAGACACCACTTACAACTAGGCAAGATGATAATTGTAAAAAAAAACTTTCGAAATAGAAAAAACGTCAATCCTGCTATTGCTAACTAGGTGTAGTGAGGAGGTTTTCGAGCCAATCACATTTAGTATGTAAATTTTGGTTATAAGTTCACTAGAAAATCAAAACAAAAACCTTAAAAAAAACACCTTACCTTCTAGAAAGTTCCAACCAAGATACATAATAAGAGCCAGGCTCTACGGCAATAAGTTCTGCGCTTAGAGCCCTTGTCCAATCTAAACTAAATTGGTCTGAAGCTGAAGGGGACGCAAAAACATGACGTGTTAAAGGATCTACTTCTTTTGACCAGCCTTCTGAGAACACTTCTACCATGTCTTCCATCTGGAAAGAAGAAATCACACGGTACCATTTATTTATAATGATATTTCATGATGTTAAAAAAACATTACGAATGGCATTTAAGATAAGTCTCTTACCTAAGAGGCAACAAACAGAAAAATTATACGCCTCACTTTTTAATTGAACTCTCTCAATATAAGATCTAACTTTAAAATAAAATCTGCGTTTCTAGTACTCAATTCAGAGAAAACGATTTTTGGACTCTGTTCATTGCCTTACTTAATTTGCCTTTTTATTACTTTTTAGTTTACTGCATGATATGTTATAGTAAGACAACACAATATAGAGATGAAGAAAATAAAAATCAGTCTTTGCGAAATATACACTCACCTGTTCTTCCTGAGGTTCAGGACATATGAATGTAGGAGTAAGCCCTCCAGTATACACAGCAATTCTATTCGGTGTCCTACATAAGTGCCTCATATCTGGAGCCACTGTGATATTGTTTAAGAGTGTGAAGTTATCCAGCTCAGGTTCTCTAATAATGCTTCCACGGATTTGCAGGTAGAGATATCGCCCTGGGGAGGGATCAATTACCCATGGACGACGTTCACAACGTTCCTGGAATATCGTAAAAGTATTTTATGTTTAACAACATGTCATTTATTAAATAATTTACTCAAAGGAAAAATTTACGAAATATAATAGTAAGTCCACACGGCCACACGAACGTTCTGTGTGGTGTCGGATTAAGAATATGGAATGTCACTACCCCTATTCATCCCGTGGGTGTCGTAAGAGCTGATTAAGGAAGCAAAATACGCAGAAGAATAGCACTGCAAAGAGAAGGAAAACCTGACACAAGCCCTTTACCAACCCGTCTTACCACCGTTGTATAGCAGGCTTAAACCTCCTTACTGAAGAGAGGTCTATGTCCAGCAACGAACTATTAAATGCTGTTGATGATGATAGTAAGAAGTTGATTTTATTTTGGTCGTGTATCCTTAAATAGTTGCTTACGATGGTATGTGAATTTAATAATTCAGGTCGAGCTTAAATGAAATATTCAGTATTTTTAAAAGGACACTAATTTTCATATCCTTTTTTTTATCGTACCATTCACTGATTTGCTCCTAGTTTTTAAAAGGTTTTAATGTTCATCTAAACGGTTTACAGGAAGTTTTAGTGTTCAGAGCATTTAAAGTACTCGATTTTTAATTCGTTTAGTAGAGGATTACTCAATATGAAACACTCATGCTAAGGTATTAAACAAATGTCAATCTCTGAATTTTACTTACCGCTTCAGACATCGGCGAAGACGATGACAGTCTTAACTCTCCACTTGCTCCATATACTCTATGTGTAGTTTCACAGCCCAGGTCTAATCTAACAAATTCTACGGATGCTTCAAAACCAAAAGATCGGAAATCGTCAGTTGCTGACATGTTGACGACATCGAACTTTAGTTCCGCTACTGTAGCTATTGATGTAAACTCGTAGTCACCAACATCACTGAAAAAGATCAATAAAGATTAAGAAATACTTTTTATGTCTATGGTGGAAGGTCATTTTCTTCTTCTGCAAATGAAAAAGGGCCACAACCGTTGCTGAAGAACCAGTTACAAATTTATTAATCCCTTGATTGCTGTTCTAATGGAATACAGCAAATCTTTAATCTTGGAAAGTACGTGCTAGTAGTTTATTTAGTAATACCTGCATAAGCAGTCCCTTGGTATCCTTAAGCCAGCATCTCTCCAGGGTTTGTCAAATATTCTTACGGCTGCAGTAACTTCACCGGCACACCGGTACCAAGGCGAGTGGGCGGAGTGTACAGATCGACATAGTCTACCACCACTACGTACGCCCCATACACGGAGTCTTATAACCTCGCCTGGGTTAGCTTCAAAGCGGTATGTGCAGCTGAAAATCCAATTATTTTACATAGTAATGCAAAGAATATTCAAAGAAAGATCTGAAGTGTTTTTCTATAATATCTCACGAGTGCGCGTTAGCTGTTGTTAAATCAGACCTAACAATGTTAGAGTGACACAGATATTGCGCCTCTTCTTTAAAAATTTTTGATAAAGGATTGAATATTATTTCGTTGGTGAAACCCTTGTAGGGCACTTTATTAAAAGGTTCTAAGGACACAGAACTTCTCTTTGTTGCTTCAGCGACTTTTTGCTTATACGTAACGTACTTTATGTATATACGTTCTGGTAAAGTTGCATGTTCTCGTAAATTATCGCTAGGAGCACAGTATGTTTAGTATTCCGGATCCTTTTTGAGTTAGAAAAAAGAAGATTCAGACTTAAAAAAAACTCATTAATAAGTCAAGTCTCATTCATGTATATAGACAGACACAAATTTAGACACTCGTCATTAAATTATTATCCAAAAGAATCATTCTTTTATACAACTAATTTATCTTCTTGCAGATACCAAATACCCTATTATTATAATGAACATCCTTTTTGCATTATGTTCAGTAATTTTCTCAAGCAGTAATAAAACTTACCTAATATTTCGATTTCCTCCTCTACCGTATAAAAATACATCTCTGGGCGAAGAAAAGGTTATTGGTGGATCGGGTGGTGCTTCTGGAAACGACCTTGAGGCAAATTTTCGAGAACACGATCCCCGGCCCCATGGTTCACCGTCTTGATGCAAGTCGACGAACTCGTAAAGGGCTTTGAAATAAACAGGCCTGAAAATTATAATGGTGATAGTTAATTAAGAGATTTTTTTTATTCTATTTCTGTAAAACTATACGGATGTAACATAAATCGTAATATGTCTATAAAATATAATAGCTAAATACCAAATTATCAGTTTTAGTGTTATAGTGTATTATAAATGCTGGCAAATTGCGACATGGGGATGTCCTGCATTATGTACGAGTACTTTGGTTATGCAGGTCCGAGCGCCTGATAAGAAAGTGATAGTAAAAATATGTACATATGTGTATATGTGTATGGTGCTATGTTTGTGAGTTCTTTTACAAACAACAAATTTAAACCTTGCCCTGCTCTAATCTCCTAGACTATAACATAAACTATGTTTCCTTCCATTATGTATTTTAAGAAAATTTATTAATCAATTTTCTTGTCCCAATTAATAGTCTTACTACACATTTTGCAACAAAGAAAGTGGAAAGAATGTCCGGTAATTTCAATACTTTCATTTATGTAGAAAATATAAGGAAATTTCCAAGTCTATTTAAGTGATTTTCAAGTATACGTTTGTATACGTTTTTCAATTTGCATTTTATTGGTATTTGGAAATTTTGCAACACCTGATTATAGCGAACTTTTTAAAATTAATTGTTATATATTGATATAGTTTTTTTTATTTATTTTTTTTACTATACTGTCATGCAATTATGTTGTGTATTGCATTTATACACATTTGTGTAATATGTTATTATGATTAATATAAATTAATCAACTGATAATGTCAAGTCAATATCAGTTAAAATGTGTAAAACTTACTTCAAAGCGGTCCCTTGTGTCAATTTCAATTCTAATGTCAAAGAATCTCCCTTTGACAGAAAGCTTTCAGTCTTGGTGCATGCTCTGGATCTTCGTAACAGAGCATGTTCGCAGGTCCTTGGTGCCCGCTCACGGCAGAATCTGGCCACCAATGTGGCGTTTGTCGGGGGACGACCGACTATCACCGATTGAGGAGAAGTTGCTCTCGACATTTGAACTGAGCGCTCTTTATCACTGTAAAGGCCAACAAAGATAACGTAAAGAAAATATTATTTATAGTTTAATTTGAGGTTTTATTCCTAGAATTTTCATATTTGAACTTGCAATAATTGAGTATGTTCTTATTAAAAAATCTAATATATATATATTTATACCTATACCTATAAAAGTGATCTAAAAGAGATCACTTTTATAATACCTACGTATAGAGAAAGTTAATATTCAAATGCTTAATAATAAGTTAGTTTGTTCAAATGCTTAAGGATTAGTCAGTTTTTTATTTAATTAAATACCTTTTCCTTTCTTCTACCATTATTGAAGTTTTGTTTTTAATATTATCCCTAAACTGTAAGGATAGTATTTTAAAGAAAACTTACTACTTTATATTTCCGTGCAGTCACGATACCCGTCAGATAAATTGATTTTGGGGTTTTCTATTAAGAAATTACAAGCGAGAGCAACGTGAGCAGGAAATTAAGTTCGCTACATGCCTGGGCCAAGAACCAATCACTTGTAATCTCTTAAATTTCAAAATAAAATTTAATCGTTATACAGGGTTACAAGAAAAGTCGTGCTAGATCCGTTAAGGGCGTGGAGTACCCCTCATTTCTGACATATTTCACTATGAAACACCCTACCCTAAACTTAACCCTTATCGAGATAATCGTCTTTTAATTTTTTTATTGAAATTTGCTGATTTTTAGTCTACTACATTTATTTTTGTTTATTTTGTGTATCTTATTATTATTATTTTTGCATTTTTACATGTGTAATAAGATGCTTTAGGACGTCAGTCATTAAAATAGTTCATAAGTTAATTGAATAGATCGTAGTAGACAAGTGAAAGTAAAGAAATAAAAAAAAATATTAGAAAATTATTTTTCTCTAACGGATATCTAAAAACAATATTATGGTAATTGTTCGGCAGATGTTTTTTAAAATATCTACGTTTCATCAGCTATCTAACGAGGTATAACAATCTAGGGTTTGTATTACATTTCGTGGAAAAAAAGTAGTTAGGACGCTCCAGGTAACAGTTCTAACGGTCCCGCGCCTATTGTCCTTCAAGTTAAGACGCACCAAGCGAGCGAGACAAGTGACGATTTATGTAGGTGCGAATGAAAGAAAAAATGTGTAGAGACCGGTTAGGGCTGGGAATACAACAGGGGGCATTGTTTGGTTGTCACTAGTTGTCAGTCTGCTTTTGTGCTTCGTACATAGTAGATGTGATATCGTTTTGCTCTTTTTCTCGACTTGGCTGTGATTCTGGACTATTTCTTCTGATTTGTGACTACTGTGCTTGTTAACCGGACTCTGATTTGTACCTGTGATACGGAAGTGTTGAAGATGACGTCCTACACACCTGAGGAATATGCTGATATGCTTATTTGTTACGGATACTGCGATTGTGTGTCTGCGCAAGCTCGCAACGAATACATAACTCGCTACCTTGGTCGTCGAGTGCCGGATGTGGCCGTTTTTGACAGAGTTTATCGAAGAGTTCGAGAAACTGGCTCTGTTTTGAGACGAAATACAGACATGGGAAGACCAAGAATTGACGACGAAGAACAGGACAATGAGATAGTGCAACGCTTTCGAGCGGATCCGACTACTTAAACTAATATTGTTGCCCGTAATCTGGGACTTTCGCAATGGAGAGTGTGGTTTACAGTGCATACTGCTGGCCTATACCCGTACCATTACACGCCGGTACACGTTATTGAAGAAGGAGACCCCGCGAGAAGATTGGACTTTTGCAGATTTATGCTAAATGCTGACGTAGAAGACCCAGATTTTCTAAGAAATATCTTGTGGACGGATGAGTCCAAATTTGATAAAGGTTTCATAACTAACTATCACAACGCCCATTACTGGGCCCCAAAAGAACTAAGGAATCCCAATAAGAAAAGAGTGAAGGGGTCCCAACGAAGATTCAGCGTGAATGTGTGGATGGGCATTATCTCCAATCATTTGATTGGACCTTACTTTCTCCCGGATAATCTAAATGGGGAAAGCTACGAAAATTTACTGAGAGCAGACTTGAGTGATTTGCTGGATGATCTGCCACTCAACCTGATCAGGGACATGTGGTTCGCACCCGATGGCTGCCCTGCCCATTTCAGGAGAAGTGTCAGGGACTGGCTGGACACAAATTATCCAAACAAATGGATAGGACGAGGTGGGCCGTTGCCATGGCCAGCAAGAAGTTCGGACCTAACCCCCATGGATTTTCATGTGTGAGGGGTGCATAAAAAGTCTAATATTTTTAATAATTAATAATTTTCTAATATATTTTTTTTTATTTGCTTTCACTTGTCTACTACGATCTATTCAATTAACTTATGAACTATTTTAATGACTGACGTCCTAAAGCATCTTATTACACATGTAAAAATGCAAGAATAATAATAATAAGATACACAAAATAAACAAAAATAAGTGTAGTAGTCTAAAAATCAGCAAATTTCAATAAAAAAATTAAAAGACGATTATCTCGAAAAGGGTTAAGTTTAGGGTAGGGTGTTTCATAGTGAAATATGTCAGAAATGATGGGATATACTCCACGCCCTTAACGGATCTAGCACGACTTTTCTTGTAACCCACTCAAATCAATTTTATTATTTTCATTAATAACGAACGCGAAGTTCGAACTATCACTTCGGCATCATTTTAAAACTTGGATATGTTTAGCAAAATACTCGTGTTATTTTTTTTGTGAAAGAGGGGGCAAGAGAGGTGATGGGTCATCTGATGGACAGTGACTACCGCCGCCCATGAACGCCTGCAATTCAGGAGTCAAGCGCGTTGCCGGACTTCGGAGGGGTACCCTCTCTTCTGGAAGGTTTGAAGGTCGTATCGATCGGAAAATACCGTAGACGATAGTAAATACTTGAGTATTGAAGTATACTCTTCATACATAAATAATTAACCTTAAGCGAATATCACAAATATCACCGTCTTTTATGCGATTAAATCATGATAGAATTGTAGTACATACATTTTAAATCTAAACTTGTGTATTACACAATCAAATTCAAAATACTAATTACTGAAATCGGTTCACAAAATAGCCAAGACAACTGGCTTCTTTATGAAGTCGCGGCAAAATTGACCCAACACAACTTTCCGAACTAAGCCAATAAACATATAACTTACCAGAAAATATCACTGCAGCCGGGCGATATCCTCATCGGGCCATCCCATATATTCAAATGACTTCCACAGTACTCATCCTCGGGCAAGTTTGGATTTAGAGCATTGGTCACATAAAATTTCAATACTGAAAACCATACTTTAAATCGGGGAGCTGAAAAGGAGGGTCTTCTGTAAATTATGTTTCTTCCCGATGGCCCCGATGTGTCTATACCCTGCATATGATATAGGCACGTTGTGTTCGGAGGTAGTGAGTGTTGCGGGTGCTCTAAGGTGCCCCGCCCTGTTCCTCGTATCCAAAATTCGCAAGCTCTTTTGTTCTTAGCGTATGTAGGCGATTGCTGATCCACAAATCTGACCTAAAATTGATTAATAGCTTGATAAATGTGTTAACGGTTAATAATATTTTATATTTAAAATTCATAGAGTTGTTAGATAACTGTTGTTTTAGAACTGAATGCGAATTTTAGGTTGTCTTTTATTTGTAACAAATTTGTAACAGATTACATATATAGAAATTTAGATAAATAGATAGTGGGCTCACAACGACAAAAAAAAGCTCGTTACATTATAAATGTCAATGTTGATGAAATTGTTATTGAATTATCCTAACCGCTAAACGGATTTGTACAGAATAAGAGAAAATAATGAGTTTCTTCAGTAACGTGTTGGACCAATGAACAAATATATTTGCAACGTTTGCCTAAAAGCTATACATAAAATGGTAAAATTTATAAGATTGAGCATAATTAAATTCTGCACATTCTATTCTAAGTTAACATTTGACAATATAGACGAATGTTAAATCAAAACAGCATTTTATGTAAGAGATATTACAAAAATGAGGGTATTTTCATTTAAAAAATGAATAATTGCGTTATAGCTTCCTACATTAATAACAAAGTAATAATAAAATTTATAATAAAAACTATAAAATTACATCTTAGTTAAAGATAAATCATAATTGCTTCATTAAAATTTTAGAAAAATGTATAAATGTATATAAATTGCAGTGGAAATAGCTGAGCTCAGCTACAAACATATATAAACTCAGGGCAGAACCCGTGTTGAGTGAGGATCATAAGGTCTCTAAGCACAGGGTAGGCTACTAAAACAAAAATCAGTAAACTCTAAATAGATGACGTAATAAAAAGGATTTTTTGAACAGTGAAGGATGAGGGTCGTGTACCAATTTCATAAGTTAGAACAATGTGGGTTGGTGTAGAGTCGCTCGCTTCATTATTCTGGGCGACCGTGCGGGCCTACTTTACTAATTACACTTTGGCAGGGGCCCAAGCGAGGCCTTCACGGCACTGCGTGATTTATTATTGTTCACCGAGAACGAAACACTTTAAATAACACATTATTGTGATATATTACAACATTAATTCTAATTGATCTTCGTATTAAGATTGCTGACTGTTTTGAGATTAGCGCATACTTATACTATAACAAATATACTATATATATATATGTATATATATATATATACTATACTATACTATATTATTCTATTATATCTTGAAATTAGTACCTCACTTTAAATTGAATCAAGGTCAGATTCGCATGGGTTTATAATAGTTTTATATAATATTTCAGTAAAGTGTACAGTCAGTATGTTTTTATTAACCTTCCACAATCGTTGTGCAATTTCTGCAAATTTAATAAAATTCTTTCTTTTAAAAAGACATCTCCCGCAGTACTAATATATCCTGTGTCGCGGGGGACACAGCATATGTTTATAAACATACATGAAACGGACACAAAGAACACCCAAAAATTAAAACCAAACGAATCTTCATGATGATTTTACTCTATTCGTTTTTGAAAAGTATATAAAAATCAGTTCGTGCTCAAATTGCGTGCTTCTTTATCTCAAAATAAACATGTATTATATATACAAACTTCCTACCATTTTTCATAAAAAAAAAACAAATAAAATTTCAAAATCATCTGCAGTGGTCCTAATTTTCGACAAAAAATCGGTAAACATGACAACGATATATATTTATTTTTATTTATTTCAGTATCAAAATGTACACGTTGTGGAGCTACTAGTATGTGATGCTATCATACTTCATATACTAAAAAGTTTTAACCTATACCCGTAATTCACGCTTGGCCCGTCGTTGGCAACTCCCACACTTAAATATGACCAGCTTTTTTGAGGATTATATAGTTAAAATGGCATTATTACATATTTTAATTTATAAAACATGTGATAAATAGTTTTATTCAAATAAATTAGACATAATATGATGATATTTCTGACGACTCAATTAATGTAGGGGTAAAATAATAGGTTGTTAAAAAATACGGATTTATTTTGTAAATTTTTGCCTCGGTCGGAATTTCTATAAGTTTATGCTAATAGACGCTGATGCAAAATGAGTTCATAAACTTTACCCATCTCTAGCAAAGTTTCAAAGCTGCATTAATGACACTTAGTTAATTTTTTTTAGTTAATTTTAATAAAATTTTAATACCTACATAGAAAACTGCACCTACATTAAATATTTGTGATGAGAAAAATATGACAGGCTTACCTCTATTTCTAATTGGAATCCGTGTAAAGACTGTGACGTCGCAGGCTGTAAAAACGTGCCAAACGGTGACGTTGTAAATTCCACCAATAGCTCAGGACCGCTTGATATTGCTTCCGGGACGGACACTCCTCCTCCACAAAACCTCAAAATTACAGGGTCTCTTGTTGTGTAACCATCGTATACCGTCACATAGTCTTGAACTTCGTCACACTGTTGCCAAAATTTCAGCTCCCGTCCATTGTTACCCCTTTCTTGTTGCGCCGCATACAAAGCCTTTTGGCTTCTAATTGAAACTAGTTGGCCGTTAGGCTGCTTCACAACTATCAAAGCATGTTTTCCTTGAGGCACTTCGTGTTGTCGTACTGCATAATAACAGGTTAAGTTTCTAGGGTAAACCCCTGGAAAATTTGGTGATTGTAACCTACAGTTTTTACGATCACAGTCACTGAATATCCGAGAGCAATAAGTTCCTGAGATCAAATCCCCGAGGTAATACTCGGTAGTTTTTGTCGTCTTCGGCGTATTCATATCCTCGCCGCGTGATATGTTTACGAGATAAGGTACCGGCCTGAGTTTGAAAAAAGGCCGCTCTGAAATAAGATACTGTTATTACATACGCACATCTCTGAAAATATTAGGATTGAAGAGAGTTTGCAATATATATTACATTTTAGATTAATACAGGTAATTTTTGCTTAGATTTTTTTAAAGAAATATCGATCTTCTTACCTGGTAGGTATGGGAGTAGTTTTACTCTATCATTGATATCTGGTGCAATGATTTGTAATTTTGGTTGGGATGTACTTTACATTATATAAATTATTATTATTATATATTTTATTTATCATAATTCTTTTTTTCAAGCAATAAGAGTGTATAAAATATTTATAACATTGTAGGTACATTGTGATTTAAACAGGAACAGCATAGAAAAGGTTAAATTGTTGATATCAAATTATTTACATACCCAAAGGAGGGCTCCCTCCATATCGAACCGTCGCATATTCTCTTCTTAAAACTTTATAGGCCATTCGAAAATCAAAATTATAGTTATTTTGTTCCTTAGACAAGTGAAGAAGTCTTATTATAAGCGTGATAGATTTTGTTTCACTATAATATATGGATGGACCCCACGAGGTGCCACACCAGGAACCGCCAACTTGAGGTCTTGAGGCTTCTTGAATCTGCATATATCCGTCCGGACAGCCATCTTCAGTAAAGGAGGTAAAGCGACCTAGTGTGAAGCTGTCGAACAGGACCTGTAAACAAATAAAAGATTGTTAGTTTGGTTTAGTTAGGTATATAGTTACATAATATGACCGGCAAATTAATAATAATAATAATAATATTCTTTATTGACATAAATATTGTACAATTATAACAGGATTCTCTGACACCCGCGCTAGTATCTACTGTGTTGCAGGTGCCAGTGTCTTCCCCCAATATATGTATTATCAAGAGTATTTACATCGATATTCTAAAAGAAGAAATACAAAAAAAAATATAGTAAATTAAAATTTATACAAAGAATAAAAATGAAAAAAAAAAAGGGTGTGTGTGCGTGTGTGTCTGTGTGTGAGTGTATTTATGTGTGTGTGTGTGTGTGTGTGTGTGTGTTTCTGTGTGCGTATCCGTGTGAATGTCTACTTACTTGTTATAGTCCTGTGCTACATAGAAATCATGAATTCCCTAATAAGTTTTCAACATAATCGTAATCTATGGATTTTAACCACGCAGATAAAAATATTTTGAATTTAGTATTATTAAATTTACGTACTTTTCTAATTTTGTTATATTTATTATACACATGAGGAGCCAAGTAATTATAGTGTCTCTTAGCCAACGTCGACTTAGTGCGAGGAACAGGGCAGCGTTCCATACGTCTTTGTGAGACAGGTAAGTGAGGAACAATTTTTTTGTGGTATCTTCGTAGCATTTCACACACAAATATCTTTCTAACAGATAGAACATCTGCCAGTTCATACACGGAAGACGTGGGATGTCTGTAAGGTAGGTATAGAAGCACCTTAAGCACCATACGCTGGGCTCTCTCAATTCCAATCATATGAGTTTTTGCCGCGCCCCCCCATGCACAAATACAGTATCTAATAATACATTCACAAAGTGCACGGTATGTCTGTATGACCAGAGTCACAGAAGCTACTGTACGAAGGTTTTTAAATATATAAACTAGTTTCCTAACTCTAGCCATAGTTGACATAATATGTGCTCTCCAGGTAAGTTGATCATCCAATGTCACACCCAAATACCTAACACAACCAACCCTCGAAAGTATTTCACAGTCACAATTTTTGTGTATGCTTCTCCTGTTGCATGGAAATGTGTGTATTTTAAGACCATGAGATGCAGGAGGTTTTCCTACAGACGTTTTACTAAAGCAAACATATTTTGTCTTGGCGGTATTTAGTGATAGAAGACTATCTTCTAGCCACCAGGTCACCTTAGCTAAACCTTTCTCAGCCAATTGAAATACTGCGTTCCAGCTTTGTCCATGAAAAATAAGCACTGTGTCATCAGCGAACATGAGTAAATCCAAGTTTGGCAAGATAGCCAACTTGCATAAATCATTGACGTATATAAGGAATAGCGTCGGTCCCAGCGTGCTGCCCTGAGGAACACCATATTTGCAGGCGGCATCATTACTTTCAAAGTTATTTACTTTGACACGTTGGAACCTATTAGTCAAATAGTCTGTAAACCAGTCCAGTACCACTCCCCTTATACCAACACTCTCCAAGCGTGTTAACAGTATTGGAACCGACACTGTATCAAATGCTTTTTGTAGGTCAAGGAATACTCCCAAACATTTGTCTCCGTCATCTAAATATGATACTATAGTTGATGTCAAAGTCAAAACTGCGTCCTCAGTTGATTTCTTTTCTCTAAAACCAAATTGGTATTTACTAAGAAAATTGTTATTTTCGAGGTATTTTGTAACTCTCTTGTTAACAACCTTCTCTAGAATTTTGGAGAGCGTTGACAAAAGGGAGATAGGGCGGTAGTTATTAGGCTCTTGTTTGTTACCTGATTTGAAGATAGGGCAAACAACGGCTCTTTTAAAAATATCAGGAAAAGAGCCTGTTAGTAAACTAATGTTGCACATAAAGGTTATAGGTTGGACAAGCGAGGCGATGTTTTGCTTTAGAATTTCTGCAGTAATTTTATCCCATCCAGGAGCACTGTGCGACCTTAGACCCAATATAATACTTCTGACTTCAAAAGGATCTGTAGGAATAAATGACATGGTATTCACAGGTGAGCTATCCTTAACGTTGCGGGCGTTGCGTGATAAATCTTGTTCCGATAAATTCATATTATTAAGTAATTTAGTAGCTAATGTGCATCCTACTCCAGTAAAGTATGTGTTCACTACATTCAGTGAATCCGCTGGTGACGCTCTTATATTTAATAATTCTGTAGTTGGCTCATTGTTTTTCTTCATCTCACCGATCTCTTTTATAACCTTCCACGTATCCCTAATGTTACCTCTACTGGAGCTTAGTCTATTAAGATAATACTGCCTTTTTAATCCCTTAATAATACGATTACACATATTTCTATATTTTTGATAAACATTTTTAAGTATCAAATCATTAGGTGTCATAACTGTGGCTTTGTGTAACTTATCCCTTTTCCTTATGCATTTGACTATTCCTTTTGTAATCCATGGTTTTAGAGGCCTATGACGATTAGCAGTTTTTAAAATTTTGCTATTGCTTTTAATAACGTCTAATAATTTGGTGGTTATCATTTCCGATGCTATGTTAACATCATTAGTGGTATAGAGGCTATCCCACGATTCCTTGGTGAGAATATCTTTAATTGATTTATAGTCCACTGAAGTTTTGTTGTGTGCGACATTCTTTTTTGCAATTTTAGAGTTACTGATGTACAAAAGTATAGGAGAGTGGTCCGTTATCGGCTGTGTAAATACGACGGTTTTGGAACGATATGAACATTTGATCATGAAATGATCAATACACGTCTTGACTCGTGTGGGTTTGTTAATACCCTGTTTTAGTCCATGCATGGCCATCAAGTTAAGATAGTCTTGGGTTGCCGCAGATAAGTTTTCAGATATTATGTCGATATTTATGTCTCCGGTAAAAATTATGTTCCTTGAATGTGTATGACGTAAAACTTTATCGAGTGATTCCAAGTAGGGTGCAAGGTTTTTATAACATGGTGGACGATAAGAGCAAATGATTGTATAGGCTGGCTCAAGAGTGACAACAAGACAATTACCTTCAATAATGTGTGGCTCAAAAGACCGAGACACGATCTCGTTATGAACGTATACTACCACTCCATCGTTTTGGTTTAGGGTGTTTTTAGTCCAGTATTTATTGTAATCAGTCATATCAGGAGGTGGGTTATTCAAGCTTGTCCAACACTCAGACAATACAACAATATTTATATGCATGTTTAGGGCGGAAATAAAGGCTACTACATGATCGAAGTTACAATTGATACTTCTAATGTTGAGACTAAGGATAGTTATTGGGTGGGTATTAGGATTATAGTCAATTAGTTTTGAACAAAGACTGGTATCACTGACGGATATACATTCAATCTGGCCAGACCTATCCACTTCCTCTGCTATAGTCAAATTAATGTTGTGATCGAATTTTAATTATGAATTGCAGTGACCTCAAATTAAGACCTGCGTGTAAAACAATATTTTTTAACTCCTGCAAAGTAGGTGCATGGACACATATATATATGTTTAGAATTATCATAGCCGCACTATAGGAGTTAATTTTATCTTCCGTGTTTTTAATTAATAGCAGTGTGTTCGCATAACAGCAGAGGAGTAGGTTCTTAAAATTTTTAATGTATTTAAAAACTAAATGTAATTGCAATAAGTCCATATTATAGACGTGCTTGTAACGACGTAGTCGCAGTAATATACGATTAAAATAAATATTATCCCTACTATCTTTGCATTTACTTTTGAAGCCCAGAATAAACCTCATGAGAGCTAATACGTAACACGAGGGTATTGTACACATGTATGTTAACATTAGCAGTTTGTATTCAATATATGTGAGAGTGTCGTTAAGAAGACATTGCGTTTGTTGATCATGTGTGTACACATGTTCATGTGTGATGTATGTATGTAGACATGTCCTTAGACATACGAGTATGTGTGTGTGCATGCGAAGCAAAAAGCATAATAATATTTTTTTTGTTAAAATGATACTATCACTAAATTTGAAAAGAGATTTAAACGGCAAAAACATTAAAAACCATTTATCAACAAATATTCTAAGTTGTGCAGTTAATAGTGAAACTAGTCATTTTTCTTGTTCCTTCTCTAAGCCTTCAAAATCAGATTCTTGATCTATTCTTCTTGCAGTCGCACCTTCTCTCTTTTTAATGAATACTTTACCATGTGATGTCCAGTGATAGGCATAGTCATTACGTTTAGAAAATTCCCTGGCTTTATAATATAGTCTCTTAACTTTAGTTGTAAGACTTTCTGAGATAAAAATGGGCATATTGCCCGCCAAATTAATATGTGACGTATTAAGTCGGTTGGTCCTATTTGCCCTATTGTACTTTTTAACGTTTGTAAGCAGTTTATTCCTTGTTATTACTGATGAAAATTCAGCTGTTATGGGACCATTGTTTTCAGGTTTACTGTTGTTGATAATACGGTACACATCTCTTAGCTCATGAGCATGTATTTCGTTGTTGACAGCGATTCCTATAGTCTTAATAATTTTTATTAGATCCTCCTTAGTTTCACCAGAAGTTTTGGGTACATTGCGAATTTCTAGGCTTGAGGATTTCGAGTTCTTTTCAAGGTTTTCCACTTTTTCCTCTAATGTCCGAATATACCCTAATGCACTCTTTCTTTCATGCTCCAAAAAAGCCAACCTTTCCAACACATCGTCATATTTGTTGCTTAAAAAGTCTACCGTAGCCTGTAGTTCCATATTTTGAGTTTTTATTACGTCTAGGCCGCTTTGCAAGCTACTAAATATTTCGCTTTGTTCCAGTCTCAAGGTCGCAATTGATGACATGATGTCCTCGCGAAGTGAAATAAGGTCTGCAGATACATCTGTGTCATGTCGACGTTTTTGTCGTAACGTAATCCTATCCTTAGAAAGATCTTCACATGGTGTTGTCAAAACAGGCTCTGAACTAGCTTGAGATATTGACGGTTGATTAGTGCCTTTTGGTGGTGTCCGTTTAATCATTCTGGAAAACGAACCCAGTACGTAGGTAGGACAAAAACAATTATAAATGGTTTCTATTCGGTACTGTGTGCCTGAGGTATTGTATAATTAGTATGTCTGCTGATTGTTGCGGTTTGTTGTTATTCAGGCGCTGCGGATGCCCTTATTAAAGTGGTCGGGGTCAGATTTGAATGACTCACGTGCAGTAGACAGAGATGGGCAGCGACGTTACTCTTCTCGCCTCGTTCGCTGTTAAGCACGATCTCTTTCGGTACTATGCGTTCCTGGTACTGCGGTACGCTTACAAAAGTAAAATTTTGCTGATTTTATTAACTTTTACTTGAATTTAATTGTAAATTAAAAATAACAACTAAGTGGACACGTCCATACGCCTTAGCGATCCGGGGGGGAAGGGGAATTGTTCTACTAGTACGTTATTTTAACTTTTACATGACGGGGCATGGGTTGGGCAACACGGAAATTTCATCTTTGTACTTATTGGTTTAATTAACTTCACACGTCTTTTCGTCAGCCTTATAATAAAGGCTGTAGGCAAGACGTGTAAAGTTATTATTAGAAACGTCTCCCATTGAACCACTTCTGGTAAGGCTACCAATTAATCGAAGAACTGCCGTTAAGATTTCTTATTGATATTGTTGCGCCATAGGATTGAGTGGTTCTTATGTTGTGACTGGAGGATAGCGCCATCTAGTATCAAGTGGGGCACAACGAACGTTACACATTGAGATTATGCTTCTTAATTACGATATTTGCAGTGCCATCTAGTGTCGAATATCGACAGATTATAGAAATTTGTAGATTCCTTATTGTACGTGGTTCCATCTGGAACATTCCATCGGATCCTCGGGATTAGTCTAGTAATTTCATTAGCCCTATAAAAGCGGAGTGTGTTAACCGTACGGGACAGTATTGTTTTATGACACAGCGAATTTTAACAACGAAGCGAATTTCTAGTGCGACTAACGAGTTATATAGTGATTTTTTTGTTTGTTATAGTGAGTGTTTGGAAATAAAGTGTAATAAAGTTAATTAACCGACTACTTTTATTTTTTGAATACCCCACTCGTGACAATATCTTGTGTGTGAAATGAAAATGTCAAAATTAGAAATTGGTAGTTTTTGAGATTTTTGTGTTTAGTAGAGGTGTAAAGTTTAAGTATAATTTTATTTGTTCAGAACGTACAACATTCTTAACTTTAAAGATAGTTTTTTCAGTAATACTTTCAACGTCTATTTAAAAATACGAGCCTCTTCAAACCAACGGGAATTATAACAAAATTTGGTTAAGTAAGTAAAAACACTGTTTTGCATAAAAGTAACTGTTTAAAACAAAACAGCCTTAGAAAATAGAGTTTTAAAATATTTTATATAATTTCAGTACTGGCCCAAAGTATCTATACAATTTTGCTATTTTGATGGCAGTATGTATATCTCTTTACTGTAGAAGTCTGCTAGACGGGGGCGATGAAGTCAGCGAAAGCGTTTTGTACTGCATATCGAGTGTTGAATGTTTTGCCACTTAAAATTTTAATTGCGAGTTTCTTCATCATTGTTTGCCATTTCTACTGACCGACCCTCTGAGACCAACGCTTACGGTTGTCGTACAGGATCCACTTTTCATCGCAGGTAACAATTCGATTCAGAAGTACCTCTTTTCCATGCCGGCATTATGCTAGTCTAATTTTAGTCTTAAGTGATCACTTAGTCCGTGTGGAACCCACTTATTTATCTTTTTTATTTATCCAATTTGACCCAAGTTCTTCAATGTTGTTTTGACACTAACTCCAAAGCCCGCAGCAAACTCACCCGTAGATAGAGTTGGATCCACTGCCACTATCGCCTTCAATTCGTCGTAGTTGACTATAGTTACCAGCCGAAGCTCGTTCTTTAACTGAAAATTTCCAGATCTAAAACGATTGAACCAATAATAAACCGTGTTATGCAAGCAGTGTTAGCCGTAGCCCGTACACTTCGTTAATATTTCGTGTTTACGCAGCGGTATTTCCACGTTTAACTCACATTCAGTACGAATTTTCAGTTTATCCATCGCGCCAAAAACTACCACAATTTCACAAAAACGAAATCCTATCACAAATTTTAAATTAAAATGACACGATCGAATAACATTTATTTTTGAATTTCGAATTACGCGCCTATCCAGGGATAATCAAATCAGTTTTACAAATCTCCATCTTCGTAGGTTAGATCTATATTATAATTGTTTACTCGTATAAGAATAATCTTCTTTATTTAGTCTAATTTTAATACTGTTTGCTAGGTATTTTAAGGATTTTTAGTGAATATTTGACGAAAGTAGGTAGGTATCAAAATTATATAAAAAAGTTATTTAATATTTATGCAAAAACAATCATTCAAAAAAGTAATCAACAACTGGAAACAAAAGTCATTACAAATACTAATCTGTGCTGCGATATGATATCTTGTTTTTCAGTGTTACCTCTATATACAATGAAGATTATATTCACCAACTGAGTTTGGTATGAGTTTAAATTTAATACACAGGAGATACTATCTGTTAGACAGAAAGTTATAATGTCAGTTATATTAACCAAATTACTATTCCAACTACAATGCAAAGTTAACTGCGTGTGTAAATTAGACCGAGACCATTTCTCTAATGGTTCAATTAAACGGAACGCCGCTTTACACGGAGCAGTTTAAATTAAAGAGATTTCTAGAAGTGTAAAACATACGAGAGCAACGGATCCGGTTTACACAAAGATATCAACTGCTAGCTTCGTGCAATTAACTATTTTTTTTATAGAAAATTAATTACTATGTTAAATAATCTCATCAGCCACTTAAACATAAAGAGAAAAATCGTTAACCAAAAATCAAAAGTACTAAAAAATGTAGACTGAAAATTTTCTAAAATTTTAGTATTTTTGCGGTTTTTTATTACTGCGGTTATGTGGTTTGGCATGATATACGATACAATCTTCTGGAATATTCTTCTATTCCTCTATGCCAGATTTTGAGCTAGTTTGAGCATTTGAAACGTGATTCGGTGGAGGGTTTCGTTGAATGACCGATTTGACCCAGATTTTCTACTATATCTACTATATACATAATCGAATTTTAAAAATCGGTCCACTATTGAAGGAGTAATCGGTCAACATGCATAAAAAAAATACGGAGACGAAACATAGAAAACCTTTGAGAAGTCGGTTAAAAATGCTCTAAATACTCGAGAAGTTTTACGTTATATAAAATTGAATATAAACTTATTAATCTATTAACGAACGAAAACGCATTGGCCGTTGAAAAAAAAAATTGTGGAAACTAGAAGATCCCGTCGTTGCCACACGGATCACGGTGCTCCTATTACCTAACTTAATATATACATACTTACCTAACTTATCTCCTGTAAAGCTATTAAATGAATGCAAAAGAATTTCCAAGTCCGACTTAGTGTGACAAATGAAAAAAACTGTAACTTTCTACTATTACTATAGAATTTAATAGTAAACTTATATTTTAAGAGCTGATAATCAAAAGTTGCAATTTCTTTTATATATACATATAAGAACACATTAGATAACATACGACAGAACCGTCGTGTAATTTCATATCATATGTTACCACTGAATGGTGCTGAGCACTTTGGCTGCGAAATGTTGAGATTGGAAAAGTAATGGAATTGCATTTTGCACGAGTTTCATTTCCGAAATTATATTCCGTTGATTCTCATGTGTAGGTTGTGTTGCTATTCATTATAATATTGTAAAAAAAATATTTTATTATATTTTTATTATTTATTTACATTATATAATTAATAATATTGAATAGAACCGACAACCGTTAGGGTAAACGAGTTTTTGAGAGGAGACCGCGTCTCGCCAAACGTAATGTAGGACGCCCACAGGACCAGGTGGAGTGACGATTTGTGCAGGATGGCTGGCAGGAGCTGGATGCAAGAAGCCGAAAATCGACCGTAGTGGCGTGCAATACAAGTGGCCTATGTCCAGCATTGGACTGCAATAGGCTGATGATGATGATGTTGAATTGCATATTATGACTTACATCGAAGACAATGGAGAAAACTTAAATTAATGTCCCTGCGTGTGGTAATAAACAAGACAATTTAAAGCTACGGGCAAAAGCTTTTAAATTATTTTACTCTGGATCACCTCATATTTCATCCAAGGCTGACGTGTTAATAATTTAATCTCACAAAATGATTTCTGATAATTTTTGTGGTAAAATGAAGGAAACTTTTGCTGTATTCTGTACAAAGTTGACCGAAGTGTTAATAGGTAACCAGACAAACGTAATTTTGTGGGTGGGTGGTGTATTTACAGGATAAAGTGTCGAAAAGAATTAGTTTTATTGAGAATTTATGCTTTTGTGCAACAAAGAAAGTTTGTGTTTTATTCTATTAGTCCACTGTAGATCCTATTTTCTAACAGTGTCTAACGTATTGTTTATCGGACTGTCCTGTACGTGTTATTTTATTCTATGTTATATGAAGAAACTATTACTACTTTTAAAACTTTTATTATGTATTAGCTGTACCCCGCCATGCTTCGCTGTGGGACATGGCGTACTGATAAGAATTGTATTGATGAGGAATGAGGAACAACTGACACAAAAAATGGATAAAAACTATCTTGGAACCGGGTTGTATATCGCATCAAATTTTGAGCTCAATCGGTGTAGAACTTTTTGAGTTTTTGATGCGTACACGAAACAACTTATGTATAGATTTATACTAGTATTGTATATTTTTTTCATAGTATAACAACAATATAATCAAAATATTTATTGTATCTAATCCTTGCGCTTGTAATAAGGATTAAGGATTTTACGACAAAAAGTTGAGCCAACATAAACAAACATGAGATGAGATAGTCACGTAACTAAGCGATCCCTAAAATATCAGTAAAATCAACAAAACGGAATCTGATGTGTAGAAAATGAAATACGAATCGGCGGCGAGGATTCGAAATGTGAGAGACATGTCCTTTCATATTCGCTTCTCTCAAGCAGAAAATACAATTTTGCACGGCTAGGGATGTTCTCGCGGGTCTTTGATGAAATTTAAATGTGCTGCTGTTGGCGGAAACGCGTTGCGGTGTTTCAATTTGTGTCTCCAGAATATACGAAAGAAGTAAAAATCTGACTTAAATATTTATAGGAATTCATGTCGTAACAATCAAGATTCTATCACTTCGTTTATAAAAGTTATCTTTAAAATTGAATTGAGAACAACTTAATAATATCTGTATTTTGACGTTTGGACATATTTTTATCACCGCAACGTCTACTAACAAGTTTTACCTTCACGCATGCATCGCAAAATATAATTGGAACTGCCGACTTTTAGAGTTTTTATTCTGTAATTGAATAATTTATTAATCTGGAATAAATTTTAATTTCATTCATTCGTAAACGCTAAATATTTTTTTAATATCACGCTAATATTAAGCTAATTTGCATTGTTAGCTACCTATAAATATTAATAAATATATCAGCAGTATTCATACTTATTTTTATATGTTTTACGTTACGTAAGTAACAGAGACTCTTAACTACAATGCAATTTATTTTCAGTGTCACTCTTTTAGCGTGATCCAAATTTAATAAAGCCGATAGAGAGGAAGTGAAGTCAAAAGTCGTTAGTAGGTACAGTGCCATTCTAAATTGATACTGGTCACGGATTGGATTCAGGGAATGTAGTTTGATATTCCTTTGCATGAGTAACAATAGAGTCGTCTTATGTAAGTTATAATACAATTATAATTTAATGAAATGAAAATGTTAAATACCGAATATGGTATTTTGAACTGTTGAACTCAGCTTGTTGTAAATACTAGGTGTTTAGAAATAAAACAACTGTATTTTGATCTAGGTTGTCCTGCTGGACTGTGTTACTGCACGGATGGCGTAGTGGTTTAAGCGGTCGCTACGCCGCTTCCTACTACGCCGAGTGTTGTGGGTTCAAACCCCACATGGGACGACACTTTGTGTGATCCACAAATTGTTGTTCTGAGTCTGGGTGTTCTTTGTGTCCGTTTCATGTATGTTTGTAAAGTCCCCCGCGACACAGGATTTATTCCTAATGCGGGAGTTGTCTTTTTAAAAAAAAAACAAAAAAAACCAAAACAATTTTAACTTAAATTTATACGAAAATACTCTACCTAGTAATAGGTACTGTGATTGCCGCGTATTGTTCGGTTTCTCTAGAGTCAGCATTAATTTTCACATGATAAGCATTTAAGAATATTTTTTTTATGAGGGAAAACTTATCTTTAAGCAGAGTCAAGGCTGATTTCTTATCAAGGCTGAATTGCTAGTGTCCATGTTTATTCTAAAATAAGGTTAAATTCCAAGTAAAAAAGTAGTATTTTTCTATTGGCATCCACAACGATATCTTTGCTTTCGTGTCAACTTTTGGCCGTACATCCATTACACAATCTAGTTCCTTTTTATGTCCGTGACTACATCTTAACAACTCGAGTACCTCTGCTTAATGAATTTATAGTAACACGAAAGCGAACCAAGCACAAGTCTCACTCGTGCATTAGAACCACATCAACAACTTGGGCAGAACTTTACCTATCTCGAAACTTAGTCGAAGTTTCGTGACGCTCTGTTTAAATCACTGTTTCTTTGTTGGACCCTAGTTCCTAGTTACAAACTAGATTTATATTCTTATATGGTTGAAATTGAACTTGTAATCTTCGATACGAGACTTACAAATATATGTTATAAATGCTTTGCATGTTATGATAGCTTTATTATGACCTTCAAAAAACAGAATTTAGAATTCTATGAGAGAAGTTTATATTTCTACACAGTTAATAAATTGGTACAGATGCTTTCATCCGCTCTCAAGGTACGGGTTGAAGATTATCTTCAAAACCTTATGTGCTCATTCAATGAGTACGACGACTAGACTGAGGGATCAAATCTTTTAGCGAAAATCTTACAATTTACGGTCATGGCTTAAAATTGAGAACATAATATTATTATTTACAAATAATTATTATAATTTAATATTATATTGTAAATCCATAATATGGATTTACAATATAATATTATTTAAAAATAATTTATTTTCTGTTTATTTGCATGCTAAGTTTTGAAAACTTATGATTAGATTAGAAAAACTTAAGATAACTGGTTAACTGGTTTAACAAAATAAACATAGTTTTATTAACTTTTTACAAGGCTTCCGTTCCGCGGAATTTCGTTAACTTGCATTTTAATACATACACTTGACGTATTTAAAAACAATATTCCAACTTATTATGACTGTAAAGAAGTGTTGTTACAGTATTTCGACTGAGGTTCAGATAATTTTATCTTAAAAATAACTTCAATTGGAATATCAGTAGAAAATATTCAGGTGCTTATATATTTTGGCTTAACTGTGAGAAGAACTCACGGGCAGTGTTTGCACCCGACCCCATCTGTTGACTTGCAAGTACTCTGGTGAATTGTTCACACACAAGTGTAACTGTGCATTCACAGTTAGTTCAGTGCTCCAGTAAACGTCATTCTATTTCAAAGTCTATGCACAATGTAAATCCCGTATAGGTACTATTTTGCACATCTTTGTATTTTAAATTTTTTCTATGGTAAGTGAACAAGATGGGCGGTATCGAATTGTGCAATAAAGTTTTGATGTGAAAAATCTAATGTGTCATGCCATGCATGCAATGCGTCGTAACGCTATCTAATAGTGTATGTAATGAGGTGTGGCGACGCGTCGCCATTAGCAAATGACTCTGCGACTCTCTCACGCTGATTAATTATCAAAGTGATTTTATACTTATTATTTCTGTTAAATAATTTCGATGTTTTACATCTGCTAGACGTCCCGCGATGGCTCCATTTTTTTTCTTAGTTTATCCCAGGTGTCAGGCATTTAACATTACATTACATTAGGTATGGCACTCAAATATAAAGAGTCCATGTAATATAAAGAGTGTACATAAGTTAGATCTATTTTCGTAAACTTAGACCTTTGTATATCGAATTTAGTAGCAAGTTTTACAAAGGAGTAAGCATCGATATTAGAATTCATACAAACTCAGCTCGTGAGAACATCGTTATCATGAGCTCCATCTGATACTGTTAAACTAATACTAATGATACGTATGGAAAAAAAAGACTACTTTCTAAAATATTTTTATAGAAGTAATGCTTTATACATCGATGGCCACAGTTTTTACACAATCCGTTTTGCCATGCCCGTTAAACGCAATTTGCCGGGCGCAACATAATAAATACTTCTTGTGATGTCACGAATGAGGCTGGAAGGGAGTCATAATCCATTGTGTTTCCACGGTCATTACATGGGGGGTAAAGTCTCCTTTGCGGTTTCACTAAACGTGCAAGATGCGTGCGTTTCTTCTAATCCATTCATCCGATAACAATTGATTCTGATTCTGATTGGCCCGGACCGTAGTCGATGTTAGACCGTGCCCTTAAATAAATTGTGGCTTGTAGAAGATAAAACCACTATATTATAATTATTTTCATTTTTTCTTACTTAGGTCCACAAGTTTGCCAGATGGAAATTTCTAATTAGTTAATTCAGATATTCAGACATATTCAACATGCATTTCATTTTATAAGGTATTGTTTTATTTCAAAGTTTAAACAGTCGTTTTATTAATTTTAGGGTTCCATTTTTCCTTTTGATGTACGGAGC